TGTTGATTTTGTACAGTTAAAAACCTGAAGATTTCCTTGTATATGTGTCTTTTTCAGATAATAAAAGATTTCCTTTTTGCTATAAATGATTTCCCTATGATGATAATTTTAGTAATCTGAAGGGAGGAATGGTGTTCACCGTTTAAAATCAAAATTAGGACTCCCTTTTGTAGTGAACAAAAAGGTTGAGAAACCCATTTGATTTGTGTGCCATGCTCCCTCCCCAATTGATAATTGGCATTCTGAGGGATCTTTCTCCAATTTTGTAGTATCAATTTCCCCATTTTCCCTCTTCTAAGTCTGTTCAGTTTGCTCAATACTTATCTAAGGGCTACCTTATGATATGCTCAATAAATTAAAAGAAAAATTTAATACTAATAACTTTAGATTTTAATGTGTTGAATGCTTTAATATTTCATTGTAAATTGGATGTTGTGCTGCCCTCCTCTACCTTTTCCGTTGACAATTGCAACATGGTGTATGATTCTAGCATGGAGTGTTTCACATAGCTCCACAAACACTTGGTTATTGGTTTGGAACCCACCCGAGTTCGCTGTCCTTGTCACAACCTATTTCTTAGAGAATTTATTCAGCTAAATTTGACAGCGGAACAACTATGTGAACACTTCCACTTGATCTTTCTTATTGTGTTTCTTCTTCTCCATTTGACTCTCTTGCTTATTTTGATTACCGTCAACTTGAAATCACTAGCATTGTTTGTATTTTGATAGTCTTTCCACAGATTCAGAAAATATGAGCCTATGTTTTCTTTATTTACCCCGAGTATACTTTTTAATTTTTCTTAAACTTTCGAAGCTGGTAAACCAAAGAGGTCCCTACTTGGGCCAAGTGCATATTAGGGGGACCCATGATATTTAGGGCTACATCATGTAAATTCCTTGGTATACTGGATTTTTCCTATAAAGTTTCTCTGTTTCAAAAATTGTTTCTCACATTATCATATGGTGTGATACTTCTCATTGATATACCCTTAAGCTGGGTTGTATATGGTAGAGACGCACTTGGCTATTATTTTGCATTAATATGCATATTTTCTTAAGATTAAAAGTGTTGTTGGCTTGAATTACATCTTGTTGTCTTGTGAATATAGAGTGAAGTAGGGAAATGATCTTGCTCAGTTAATTAATGTTATAGGACAGGGCGAGAAATGCTCGAACATAGAGAGTGAAGTTAGGTGGTTTCAACATATATAAAATTCATTGGGTTCTAGAGTGGTACATTATTATAATGCACCAATGCCCGATTCAAATTTTATGTCATATGACTGATGTTTAAGCAGCAATGCGTTATGTACATTATTGCTTCTGGATATTTAGCTTCCACCGTGAGTTCTTAAGCTTTCATTTCATGACAAGTTGGGTTAATAGGTTTGCTAATGCTGGTGATACTGCCATGGAAGTTGCAGAGAATATGGCATTACGGGTGAGTTATGAATTTCAAAATGCTCTTATTGTGTTGTGTTAAATTTATTTTCTTGAACTGTCTTATTGGAACCTGGGTTGTGCATTTTGTTTTGAATACTTTAAATTACACAGCTGTTAGCCATGTTCTGTAAAGCTCTAGATACACCCAAAATTGTTGAAGTATTGGTGTTTTTATCTGGTGCCAATATGCCTATGATAGTCCTCAATGTGTGCTCAAGGAATTCCCTAAAGAATTTATGATATTTCAAAATAAAATTATTGACTAATATGTTTGTTAGGATACATCATCCATATTTTGATATACAACTCCAAACTTTTCTTAAAAGGTTTGTTCAATCTTATTTATCATATTCTATGACCAAAAGAGTGTAGTACATACTCTTCAATTCATATTTTGAGGATATAAAAATACGAGATATAGTTGTGGGTTATTGGTGGAGATATACATGACCCATCACTATTGCTGATGGCAGAACTACAATGATCACTGATTTAATTGTACAGGGTTGTCTCTTAGTGAATTAGACTTGGAAGTTAGCTATGTTTTTTTGGATGATGAGATAATTTACTTTAGTCATGACTCATGACTTGAATTAGACTTGGAAGCTATGCTTTTTTTTGAAGATGAGATAATTTAATGGAGTCGGGACTCATGATTTATTTCAAATATAGGACTAATGACATTTTTTATGCCAATGGAAGTGGATTGTGTATTCATGAACTGAATACAACTGGGTCTGATGACAAATTCCAGAGCTGTGTTTTTCATCCCATTCATCATGTTCTGGTCCTTGGCCGCGACGTGGTAAGTTGTCTGTTGTCATCCTATATTGCAGATTAAATTCATTAGATTTCTTATTCCCGGAAAAGTAGAATTAAAGTAATCAATGATACTAGCAGCTAAACTTAAACATTCCTTTTTTGTTAATACAGATTTATAATGTTTATATAAATCATCAGTTATGCTAATTTGAGTCTTACCATATATCAAAGGCATTAATATACCTTTAATTAAATTATGAGTTAAAGGCATATGATTTTGACTAAGAACTATATCACATATATTTTTATCCAAATGTTTAGGTAAGTAATCCTTGAGTTGTAAAAGACTACTACTGTAAATATCTTTGATTAGAGGTTCATTTTGATAATATTCAATTAAATTAGTATGTTCAGCTAAATGTGTATTTAATGTATAATAACTCATTATCTGATATGCAGAGGCAGATGCATCTTGGGTTATAGGTAATTGATCTAGTCTAATTCTATTATAGTTGTTATTTACTTTGATAGATATTACCTTGCTTATGAACTGAAAGGGGTTTTTAGCCTTAACAGCATAATTGTTGATATCACTATCATCCAAATTAATAATTGTATTATCATACCAAAGGGTAGAAAATTCATAATTTATATGCTGATGGAAATGAAATGCAGCAGCTGGTTTTAATACTGATTCAGTTAATTCATATATATATATGATTTAGATATTTTTTTAGGAGTTAATTGTTCACTAACAACTATAAGACTTCGAGCCAAATTAAGTTCGTGAAAATGCAACACACCTGATCGATAGATTCGTCCACGAAAATCCATATATGCAGGTAGATAAAACTGATATCCACTGTAGGCAGATGCCATTTCAATTTATAAATGATTCATAACGAGCACGTTGAATATCTTATGATACTGCCCTACCCACTGGATATATTGATCCACTCTCTCTAATATACGAATAGACCTGCATCAATACTCGTAATAGAAAGAGTCGGGTTCTCTGGAATTTTGGTATCACCAAGACCTAGTTTCTTTACCCTAGAGTGTGTGATAATCAGCATTCATTATCTTTCTTTTTAATCCAGACTCTTATGTTGTGGGATTATATAGCGAGAAATGTAATGTTTCTGCACGGACACGACAAGCTTGTATCTGCCTTGGCAGTATCCAATTTTACTGGGTTGGTGTCTTCAGTTAGTCATGACAATTATTTCAAAATCTGGAAGTGACTTGCACATGTTGTTGATATAGGTTTACATTCCTTTCACATGTCTTTTGTATATGCCTTTTGTTCCAACTTCCTTCAGGAAAAAGAAAAGTATAATATATATACAAAAACTTATATTGTATAGTCAACATTTAATCCGTAGAAAAATATTGACGTTTTATTCAAAACTAAAGGAAAGGAAAAAATATTCAAGAAACCATACTTTTAATATCCTAAATAAGTTTAACAAATAAACTAAGTTGCATATTTAAAAGGGAAGGAGTTTGACAAAATCATAGAGGTAATGTGATTTTGTTGAAAATGCGAAGTATAGTTTATATTAAAATTACGGCAGCACAATATGATTCGATCAAAGTCTCCCATGATCTAAACAACTGATTGAGTACAAGTGTATAAGTATTTCATTTCCTGGTTTTTAATTTTTTAATATGTTGTAGTTCCTTGCCTAGTTGTTTTATATCTACATGTTATAGGGTAACACTAACAAATTTAGTATTGATTTGTATGGCTTCTTATATGGATTTGGCCTGACATAGCTTGTATTCTCCAGCTCAATACAGATTGGTTTCGGCCTGCCAAGGCATATCTCAAGCAAACACTGATCCAGAAGTTGATTTCCGAACTTGTGGAAAACCATGGTTCACGTGAAATCTCATACAATACTTAGGAGATGATGGGGTAGCAGCACTGGAAACCTGATGCAACAAGTTGACCATGTCCAATTATTACAATAGAATGGCGAACACCGAGTTGAATATTTATGCTAATGTATAGTTTCATGTCTTCAAAACTCTGCAAGGATATCAGAAGCAACTTTCTACTAGTTAAGGAAGAGTATTTGACACACTCTGCATATTGGAAGCAACACCATGCACTAGTGGAGGAATCACATTTTACACAAGTTTGACAGCAATTGCGAAAATTCTAAGACAAGCAGAATTAGATGATTAGGATCATAGAATAATAGGAAATTTGTAAATTAGTTATAAGACATGATGTTGTAATGTCATTTTTTATCAGTGTAACATTTTTTGCATTTTCATTTTGTTATCAATATAACATTTCCTCCACTGTTTGTTTGTAACTTTTTTTAATATAATGCAATAAAGTCATTTATTTCATTAAAATTTTCAATCTAGCTTAATTCTTGGTTTATCGATTGTTGAGAGTTCGTCATTGTTTTCTTGGTTCGGGGATCGATTATCTCTTTGGAGAGAGTTTTCAAGTTATTCTTTGATTTGAATACATCTTTCTAATTGAAGATGGAGGCTTAGAGAAGTTTTTCCTTTACGACATTGTCTTGTGATTCAAGATTGTGGTTTGTTAAGGGGGTAATTTCGGTTCGGCATTGTGAATTTTTTTATTAATCTTTTAGGGTTTGGAATAGTTTTGTGTTTAGGTGATTAGATTAGGGGGAAATGTGGAGGTGAGAATTGGAGTCAGTTGTTTAGTTTAGAATTCAGCCTATAACAGTCTTGTTCTAGGAGTGGGGTTGGTGAAGGTTGGTTCTGCTTTTTGTGTGTTGGTTCTGATCATGTTCAGTGTTCATTATGGACAAAAGTGAAACTGCTTTAACTCCACAACGGTTGAGAAGTTCAGGAAGTGTTCCCAGTTCAGCCCACCATTTTGCATCTTCATCTAATCACATTGATACTCAAACTGTAGCTCATCACTCAAGGAATAGGTCTTCTAAGACAACTAGTGATTTTGTTAGTCCTCGTTCTGTGTTCCTTGAATGGAAATTTTCGTCAAATTCTCGGAGGGGCACAACCAATGGCTTTGCAAAAAATTCCTATAGTAGTTTCAACAGAAATCATCGTGATAAAGACCGCGATAGAGATAAAGATAGATCCAACGGTTTAGACCACTGGGATCGTAAATGTTCTGAACCATTGGCCGACCTCTTCTTAGTAAGGACAAAGAGGGATCCTCTGCGGCGCTCTCATTCATTGGTCTCTAGAAAACAGAACGAGCTTGCTAACCACATAGGGGCTGTAGATACTAAATCTGCTGGCAACTTCAACCAGAGCAATGGCAGTGATGCACTTTCTGGTGGTAGTATCAGTAGCAGTTATCACAAAGCTGTTTTCGATAAAGATTTTCCATCACTCGGTGGAGATGAAAGACCCGGGTCAGCCGAACAAGGCACATTTTCTGGGCAAGTTCAATGCAAATTCATGAGGAAGAGCATAAACGGTTTGGTTCTAATTCCTTCAAATCTCAAACAATCTTGATGAAATTAAAGTCAAAACCACTTGATTTTTCATGAGGAAGAGCATGGTATCAACCATAATTTAAAATGATGCACACAGCTCAAGACACAATTGGTCATGCAAGATAAAGCTTGAGATGCATTTCTTGAGTCAATGGACAAAGTAAATGTAAGCAGGCTGATTTTGCTGATTTTCAAATGTTCACAAGTGTCAAATATGTACTAGATCAAGTTCCAACAAAAATCTAAATCGTTCCAACAGAAATCTAAATCAAAAGACAATGTGATAAAAATTTGGCACATGAGTTGCTAAAGAACATGATTTGAACAACCAAAACATAATGATCGGACAAAAAAAACTCAGTCGAGCTAATGCACCAAATGCTAGACATTCAAGGATCTCTAAAACAAACTTGTTTGATAAAGAAATCAAAATCTGGAGGACTGTCCAAATCATGACAGTAAGCCTTAAAAACAGGAAGGCAAATGACATATTGGCATGTGTAATCCAAACATGATGAAAAACAACTTGACTTAAAAGCAGTCTTTCAATAATGACTCACAAGATACAAGGGAAACATATAGTAAAGGTACCTTTTATGCTTAAAACAGTTGGTGACACACAAGACAAACAAACATGGTTCAACCAAAATAACAACATCAAAACTGAATTGAGCACCCCTATGCATCGTGTTTGAATACCAGGCCAAGGGTTTCCACAACAACATGTAAATTCAGATTTCAAACTCAAACTGGTAGCAATCATGACATGGATAGGATCAAACCATCAACTGAGAATTCCTTACAAGAGAACAAACTTGACAGGCTTTAAAAAATAAAACATCATCATACACAAAGATGGCAGCCATGTTCATAAATGAGGCAATATTGATCATCCCATGCTTTGACAGCAATTGATTGAATTATTTCAGTGTAACATGACCACAACAGTTAATCAAAAATACCTATAGCCCACAGACGTTGGCAAATTTGAACCCAAAGAAAAGGCTTGACAGGACCAAAGCATATCAAGTTTCAAAACAGGCCTATCCAAAATGTAGCCTTTCAAAAACTACAAGACAGTGATAATTGGTCTGTTCCAAACAAAACTCAAACACCAATCACACATTGTTGTCGACATGTTTATCTTTATTATGAGAAAAGGGATGTTGGAGTATATGATTGTAAGACATCAAGCAATCTATTAAAGAGGAAATATAATCACATTTTCACTCAAAACCTCAAAGTATTAACTATAAGAATCATTTCTTTGATGTGGTACTTATCAGTGACATTCAACCACATGAAACACCCCACAACCAGAACCTCCCCACAACCAGAACAGAACCACTGACAACAAAATTCCTCCACTGCAATAAAAAGTGTCATATAGAACCTGCTAAATATTACCTTTAAAATTAATCATTGCTCTAATCAAGTATCCTCTCAAAATATATTGCTAAAATCTTGTCAATCACAACATTCTCATAACAAATATCCAAAGGTGTTATTACTCAATAATGAATAGTAAGTTTATGAATTTAATTGAATTATCAAAATTGTATAATAAGAAAAAAGAAGAAAAATCACCGCCTTGTTAAAAACCTTATCAGAAATTCCCAAAGGGATTAAAGTACATTGAAGGAAAAAAGAGTGCAGTGATGCAATAAAAAAAATCTAACAAAAGTAATTAAAAAAGCATAGTAAAAAGGGAAATTTCCTACGGATTAACTTGATTCTAATGCAAGCAGCCATTGTAGACATGCCTATGATGACGAGAAAACGCATCGATTATATCGCTAGATTTCATTGACGTTTTATCGCGCATTCACCGTTTTAACGCTCGATTTCTCGAGTTTTTCTTACTATTTTGCAGGTACATCGTTATGTGAGGCCGAATCATGAATTAAGAAGAAAAGAACGAAAGAAACCACAAGAAATGAAGCAAGACAGAAGCCTGCAAAAAGTCTGCATAATTTGTTATGGCCACGGTCGTTACAAGGGTGTCACGACCGTGACACCTTACTTTGGGCCATCACGACCGTGAGGAAGTAGTCACGACCGTGACACTTGAAATCATCAAATAACGAGCGTGAAGACCTTGTCACGCCCGTGACAAGGATATAACTTGGTTTTGACTCAGACTACGTCAAGCCACCACTGAAGACCACTCCTCCTAGTAATTCTCCTCAAGGCAGCACGTGAGGACGACTTCTCCCATTTTCTGCTGCCACTTTCCAACATTTTCTCAACCACTCCAGCAAAGCCCAAGAAGCAAAAGACCAAGGATCCAGCCCAGTGAAGACTCTATAAATAGTACCAGCTCTATGAACTCAGGGACAGACTTCAGTATCCAAATTTCCTTCGGAAGCTCTGCCGAATTACCTTACCACCAGAATTTTATTTCCAGCATTATTTTATTTTCTTTTCTGTCTCGTTTTATTTGTATCCAAACCAACCGTGTAACAATTTCCAACATTAGGGAATTGTTATACTTTTATTTGTTTCCAGCCTTCAGCATTCATTTTAATTTTTATTTCCGCCTACTCCAAGCCTTCCAGTCTGTGGAAGAAGGAGTCTACTCAGATATTTGTTAATCAGGTTTTTCAATTATTGCAATTTAATTTATTTATAATGTCTATTTATTTTTCTGCCATTAGTAAGTTATTATTCAACTCTGTGTCTGATTCAACCTCGATGAGTAGCTAAATACCTTAGGGCGGTATGTAGTTATAACCAACTTAACCGGTAAAATATAACCATGGGCTAAAATAATTAATCACTTAACATTCTGGCTGATGCTTTTTAATTGAATTCGACCTTTTCGTTACGAGAGTAAGAAAGGGGTATTAGGTTGGGTCAAGACCACGAGAGTGTGAGATCTTAACCAGATAGCTAAAGTCAGGCATTTAAATTAAATACAGCGAGAGCGCTTTAAGATAAATTAGAATTATTTAGTTTCCAAAAATTACCTCTAAACACTTATGGGCTAGCGAGAGCAGGCATAGGGCTTTAGGGATAAGATCTGATTCAAGACCACGAGAGTGTGAGCTGAGGGTATTTAAACTAGTAATCTCTACCGAATAGATTAAGTGAACATCTTTATAAGCCTAGGTTAGATTGACCCACCTAAGTTAGTATAATTACATACCGACCGTCTTAGTATTATTTTATTAAAAACTTAAATTTAATTCCGCCTTCAATAGTCTTAGGAAACCAACAACAATCGTGACAACTATTCGCCTTAGCTAAACTAGAAGTTCATCTAGCACTAAGTAACGATAGAATCCCTGTGGATCGATAATCTTAAATATTACTTCGATAGGCTGTGCACTTGCAGTAAGATACCGCTAGACGCATAAGTAGACACGTCTTTAGCCCATCAAGTTTTTGGCGCCGTTGCCGGGGATTCCTTAATTTAGTTACTAGTGCACTTAGGTAGCATTGTCTAGACTAAGGTATCAACTATTTAATTTAATCTAATCTCCGAGTGTATGCCACGTACTCGCTCCAAAAGCGAAGACTTGCAACCTCTAATCCCTGAATCAGAACGCTTCTTACACGTAAGAAGACGTATACTCGATTTCGAAAATAATTCCAACATTCCAGATCTTCAATTAGATCCGCCTGAACCAGTCGTAAAATCAGAAAACGCAGGAATGGCTGAAGAACAAACTCATCCACTCAAGTATTACGCTAATCCTTCGCAAGGTGAACCGCATTCAAGCATCGCAGCACCGGCTATCAACCGAAATGATTTCGAACTAAAACCATCATTGATATCAGCCGTGCAACAAAACCAATTCGCCGGAAATCCTACCGAGGATCCGAATCTTCATCTTTCGATCTTTGTGCAATATGCGGATACCGTAAAAGCCAATGGAGTTACCCAAGAAGCTATTAGACTACGTTTATTTCCTTTTTCGCTTCGAGACAGAGCAAGAGCATGGCTTCAATCTCTGCCTTCGAACTCAGTAACTACGTGGGAACAACTTAAGAGAGTTTTCTTGAATAGGTATTTTCCACCTAGCAAGACAGCTATGCTGAGAGCTCAGATCAACGGATTTAAGCAAAGAGAAAGTGAATCATTATTCGAAGCTTGGGAACGCTATAAGGATCTACTTAGGCTTTGTCCACATCATGGATTAGTAGAATGGATGGTCATCCATACCTTCTATAATGGACTCTTGTACAATACAAGAATGACAATTGACGCTGCCGCGGGTGGTGCATTGATGGACAAAGAATATAATGATGCCTATGCACTTATCGAAAGTATGGCTAAGAATCATTACCTTTGGGGAAGCGAGAGAGTCGCAACTGAGAAACCAACAAAGGGAGGTATGTACGAAGTAAGTAGTATGGACCAAGTCAATGCGAAGTTTGACCAACTAAGCCAAAAGATCGACAACTTGGCCATAACACCTGCAGCCACCGTGGCTGCAGTAACACCTAACTGTGAGTTATGTGGAGTCCCAGGACACGAAGTCTCTGATTGTCAACTATTGGCAGGAACTCCCACTGATCAAGTGAATTATGCTCAAGGAAACCCTTACTCAAACACATACAACCCAGGTTGGAAGAATCATCCGAATTTCTCCTATAAGAATAACAATGCTTATTACGCACCAGGTCAAGCACCAGCTACATCACCAGGATATCAAAAGACTGCTCCTAATATCCCTAGAAAATCGAACCTTGAATTGATGATGGAGAGCTTTATAGCTAGCCAATCTCAGAAAAACAAGGACTTCTTAAACCAAAACATTCACACTAGTGAGCAGATTAAACAATTAGTGAGCAAAGTAGATGCATTAGCTACACATAACAAAATGCTTGAAACTCAGATTTCACAAGTAGCTCAACAACAAGCACCTACTGCCGCACCAGCTGGAGTATTCCCTGGACAACCTCAACCTAACCCGAAAGGACATGCTAACGCTGTAATATTAAGAAGTGGCAAGGAACTTGACGGACCTACCGATCCAAGACTTGACAATCCAACCATGTACCAAAAACCGG